TATCGAGGAGATGCACAGAATAGTGTATATCACGAGGTGATGCACAGAATAGTGTACATCACGAGGTGTTGCACAGATTGGCCTGTTAAACACACAAGTTCAGTTTAGGCACCTTATACCTAACAAGGTATCACACACGGGTCAACTGGCAGCGGTTTATCACAAAAAATCTATGCTCGGATACCCTTTCTCCAGTTTAAATGCATAAGCATCACAAAATATGATTCTCCTGGTGTAATAATTATTGTGCATGCGCTAATATAAACACACTACTTAGTCACATCGTGCACAGACTGGTATACGCAGCGGACACCTTACATTCGCGGTCTCTTTCCTATATCTTTACAGGTGTCTACTGATAGAGTTTTATCATATAAAATTATGCTAGGATAACACCTCTCCAGATTAAATGCATATCCGTCACAAAATATGATTCCTCTGGAGCGATGTGGTGCATGCGCTAATACACTAACGTATAGTCAGATTGTGTACGAACTGATATAAGCCGCGTTCACACGTAGCAAGAAATCCGGTATTTAGCGTTCACACGAGGCAAAAATGCCGCGGTCAAGAAATACGGTATCTAAACAGATCCGGTATTTGGGTGTAAATACGCGGCTTCCCAGACCCCGAATAATTTGCCGTGCTTTGAGAAATACCGGATCTCTTGGACCGCGCATTTCCTGCGTGTGAACGCTAGAATACCGGATTTCTGAAGCCGCGTATTTTATAGGACTGGGTTCGCGCTCGACTGTTCCAGTGTAACGCGAGTTGGAACTGTCCGAGCGCGCGACCAGTCTACGTTATTTTATCGACAGTTGGTGCCTTGATTGTTTTATTTCGCATTGTTCGCTCTGATTGTTTAAAGCCAGCTCGCCAGCTCGCAAATACCGGTATTTTTGGAGCCGCGAATCAGCGTGTGAACGCTCGGCCGCGTATTTGTCTCAGATTCGGTATTTCGCAAATACCGTATTTCATAAATACGAGGTTTCGTGTGAACGAGGCTATAGGCAGCGGGCACACTACAGGCTATGACGCTCTACTGTTCATGAGGGCAGGTAAACTGATAGTGTTTTATCATATAAATCTATTCTAGGATACCTCCTCTCCAGTTTAAATGCATAATTTTCGCAAATTATTGTTCTTCTCGGGAGATATTGCGCATGCGCGAGCACAGTTTCATGCGTGCCATTTTGACTGATAAAAGCTGGCTAATATAGGTGGCTGAGGAAAAGAGTGGTGGAACACTAAGAAAATGCAACAAGGAAGATATCCGAAGGTGGATGAAATAAGTAGAAGGCTGAGCGAGTGACAAGGTAGGCAATGGGAGGGATGGACAGAGGATGAATTAGGAGGTTTGCGCCATAAAGGCTAGGGCCCGTTATTATTTATATATATACATAGGCCTACTGACAGCGATTTATCACATAAATCTATGCTCGGATAATCTACTAGTGCGATATTGCGCATGCGCTAACACACTAACGTAGTCATATTGTGTACGGGCTGGTATAGGCAGCGGGCACCCTATATGCTAGCTAGGGCTTTCTACTATTTATAAACACAAGTCTACTGACAGCGATTTATTACATAAATTTCTGCTCAGATACCCCTCTCTCTAGGTTAAATGCATATAACCATTACAAAACATGATTTCTCTGCATGGTGCGATATTGCGGATGCGCTATCACACTAACGTAGTCAGATATATATGTAGCGGGGCCTACCTTACATTCACCGTCTTCTTCCTATATCTTTGCAGATGTCTACTGACAAAGTTTTATCATATAAATCTATGCTAGCATTTCTTCTATTCTTGCAAATCTTTCTAGTTAAAATGCATAATTTTCGCAAATTCTCCTTTTTCTCGAATGATATTGCGCATTCTCGAGCAGTGGCGTAGTTAGGGGGGCAAAAGGAGGCCATGGCCCCCTGTTGATCCGAAAGTAAAAAAAGAAAAAAGAAAAAAAGAATTGTTCTACTAAAAAGAGAATTGTAGTAGTCAGAATGAAGGCTGTACATGTTCTCAAAAGTGCCTCAAATACCATCTCCTGCGATCTACATTTTCAAAATGTTCTGTGGGAGGACCCCCATACCCCCTGCATATGTTTCACACCCTCCTCGTAATCCTAGATCAGCCACTGAACAGTTACATATCTAGGGAGCAGAGAACAACGAACACAAATGTCGCATTTTTACATGACACCCAAAACAAAGATTGCAGAGCTGCGAGGCGGGGGAGCATAGGGTGTGGAGAGGGAAGCGGAAGAACCATTAAAATATTAAGTCATCCACTATTTTGCAGAGTTCGCTGTTTTTGACCCCCTCCCCCTGTTAAAAAAATCCTGGCTACACCACTGGGCGCGAGCACAGTTCAGGCATACAATTCGGACTGATGAAAACGGGATATATATATATATATATATAGCTTGTTGAGGGAGAGAGAGAGGTGACAGACTGATGGAAGGCGGGATGGGAGATAATTATATTAATAGCGGTA